TTATTTATTTTGTTGCTTCTGTATTGAAAATGTACATATGTCAGGAAATAAAGTTTTTTTCTGGCTAAAGCTAGATAACCCTTTTGTCACCACTTGTATATACAGTGTGTATCAGGAATGAAACATGCGTGCGATAAGCTTACCCGATTTATTAGAATCCCCTCTCTAGTTGTCCATCACTGGGTTTAGATCACCTCTGGAAAAAAAAACTTTTACTATTAATTTCCCAACGACTATCGATTAATAAGTTATGCATGTTCTATAAACTTGCACTTACCAAGACGAGGACTAGTTAAGATTGATTGAAAAAGCTTACGGAAGTGTTACTACCTATATTTCACGCTATCATGGGAAAAGCATTATTTACATTATCATTCGTTATACTGTACTTATTCACAGAAGTACTATAAGTTCCCACGATGCTAACTCGTTTTTGTTTCGACGAAAAAATATCTTATAATGAAACGACACAGAGATAAAAAACATCTCTAGTACTTTTATGATCATAGAGTCACCTCTACATAATGATTTCTAATACCTATAATTAATAATTATTATAACAAAAAAAATTTCAATAGTGAAATATCTATCATCAATATCTACGCGCTTAATAGTCTTTTTCACACAGAAAATCGTGTGATCAACAGTTATTGTTCTCAAGGGTCACAAGTTGTTACATTTGAAATGTAGGCATTCTATGTACGTATGGGGTCTTCCAAAAAAAGTAAACCATACAATTCTATCACATTAGTGGTCATTTTGAAATTGTATTTAAAATACCAGTTTCTTTTAACCTATTTTTTATTCTATTGTTAAAAGGATTTGTTAGCGGGATACCCTGTAATACATAGAAGTCAAACTAAATGATTTTCTGATTGATTTGGAATTGTTATCTATATATTTGTTAGTTATCTGTTATCTGAAACGTTTTTGTTTTTGTTTTTTTTGACGGATTTATATATGTCCACAAGGCTTCTGAGTGGTTTAAACCTACTTAAAACTATGAATATTCCAACTATTTTACATTTGACTATTGCCCATGACAACCATATTGAATTAGCTGAATTATTTCCAGCAGTTGAGGTCACAGTTTCATTATAATTTACATTTTTTAACTGTCTGTTGCACGAACCTGTTCGAATACTGTATTGTTCCAAATCTATATACAAACTTAAAATATTCTATAAAATCAAACTCTGAGGTGAGGCATACCAAACAAGTCCCTTGCGTTGGAATCAAAACCATTAGAGTCAGTAAACACGGATACAATATTTTGCTGAGATATTAAAAAAATGTAAATGTTTTCTTACAACAATTGCTCTAAAAACAGAATTTAAAGGCACAACAAATGGAACGCCTTCACTCAAGGTCTAGAGAATAGAGTATCTTTTATTGCTAATATTGAACAACACCATGCACAGATAGCAACATCAAGGAATTACAATTATATGACAGGGCATTGTCCAAAAATTCCAAAGACAACAAACAAGTCCTCTAAACAGACCAAAAAATTAATGGTTTATTTTAATATGTAGTTCTGTAGTTCCCTTATCGAAGATAATTTGCTGGATGATCTTCTACAGAATATTGCTACATATCCACCTATACAATACGTCCTTAGCAATAGATTACTTGTGTGCAAGTATTATAATTCGATAAATGAATGTCACATATCTGCAGTTTCCTAGCACTGATTGACACACAAGTTTTCATCATGGAACTCAATTGAATACATTGCATTAACCACATACTATATATACATAGCTTGTCGTGTACATGTCGAAAGGTTTATTCAATCAATATATCTGCTATGTATGTCATATATGCCCATATGTCATGCAGAACTGAGAACTTCAGGCATTCAGTAAGTTGGCAATAGATTACCAGTATACTGATCATAATTGGATCAAAGAACTGTCTTTCTCTAATACCTCCTTAGCAATAAATTACTTGTGTGCAATAAGTATTTTAACTTAACTATCAATTAACTGTCTTTCTTTAGACACTTTTGGAAAGATTAAACAACAATAAAAAAATAATGACAATGGCTGAAACAATCCCATTCATTTATTAATAAAAATACCCATTCATTCAAAATAGGAAGTATCTTAAGAAATAGTATTTTAAACCGGTGATAGCACGCCTGCCGAAGACAAACTTGCCTATTTAAGGCTCTGTTGCAAGTACGAGTATTAAAATTTAAAAAAAACTCACATGACAATTGCTTTTAATACAGGAGGTTTTTAAGTGCTTTTCAAGTGGTTTATTGATGGCACGCAAACCCTCGTGCTCGTCCATTCTTTGGAGTGAACTTGACGAATCGATGATTCTAAACAATACTTCAGCCTTCAAAGTTCATATAAACATCCATATTCGAGATTTAAAGAAGTTATACAGCATATATTTGCAAATAATTGTTAATATTTTCATCAATGAAACTCGTGTTTTGCGAAATCTGTTAATGCCCGCATGCGCGTAACTAAGCCGCTGTCCGCAATGCATTATATCGGGCTCAGCTATCTGATCTATATCGTAAAGATGGAGTGATAGAATAGAACTTTTCGGTGATACGTCACAGCAATTTGACGACACAAAGTTTTAAATTTAGAACCACCTTAAATGGAATGGATTTAAAGTTTTATCCTCACGAGCCATATCGAAAGGTGCAAAACATCCTTCTTCAACACATGCATGAAAAAGATTTTTAGTTTGACCAACGAATTCTGGAAATAAGCCTAACACGAGAACAAGGCGTCCGGGCGTCCCATATAGCAGACGGATGTTTCGCATCTTTCCACATAGATTACCGAAAAGGTCTATTAGGTATCAATTGTACAGGTAGGTATAAAAGTGAATATAAAATCAAAACAAAAAATATTCCTCATGCAAACTTTTATGGGTAAACTGATAAATGGGGTAAGCTCAGTGAGAGAACTCAAATTTGACACAACATGTAGTTTTTGAATACATATATTTATTTAAAATCCCAACAAAATCTGAACAAGTGAATACTGATGATTATAACAGAACAAGAATATTAATTACAACGGAACCCTCTAGTAAATTTTGACTTTTTCATGCTCGATATATTTCTGGATTTTACTTTTTCGACGTACCATGAACAATGTCGAATATATCATCAGAGAGCGTGCGCAACTCGTATGCTTTGCTTGTCGCATTATAAACGATGTCTATAGGAAAAACCAACGCCTTAACCGACTCTTTCCAAGTTCTGCCTGGTTTCAGTCTATACAAATTTGTGGAATCCGGCAAAAGCTCCATGCTAATTAAATGCGCTTGCTGCTTGTTTTGCGTGAATCTCGCGACTTTTGCTATGAAAAAGGAAATGTGATTTTTGGTGGAAACTGGATCAAGCAGTGCTACAATGTCACCGACAGCTGGTAACAATTCGTCCCCGGAATCATTTTGGCAATCGCTTTCGTCAGGCAATGCAATAAAATCCGCTTCACCGAAGATATTTGACGCAATTTTTTCCCTGATAACTTCTCGGCCTTTTTGCGTTTTCTCGTGGTGTGTTAAATCGTTATACGTGCTTTCCTGATATCGGACCGAATGCTTCATTAAAAGCGCAAGACTTTTTCTAACATTTATATCTTTGGAGTCGTCCAAAGTGCTGAAATATGTGATGATAGCATGCCTTAACGCATTAGTGCTCGCTCGAATGGAAACCTCGCGCATGAAAATATCGCCAATGTACCTCGCAATTGAACTGCTGCTATCAAAAGGCGCGCCTCGCTTGTTGAGAAAGAAGAAATCATGCGACTTGCCGAGCAGTAAAGATGGCCTTGCCTTAGTATATAATTGCAAGTAATACACCAGATCTTCGTCATCGGAAACATCGATTCTGGTCGGCCCAATACTTTTTGATGTTTTGAAATCAAATTGCACGATTACAACGCTATTGCCCTCTTGAAATACGATAAAATTACCGCCATCCACCGAAGTGAAATCGAAAGTTCCGCAGTCCGCTTCGATATGCAATTTCATGGTCCTTAATTCTTTCGACCTGCCAGGAATGGCTCTTAAGTAAGTTGCCAAGAGTACAAAATCATGCAAGTGCCTACTTTTTTCCAAGCCATGCGTTTCCAAATACTTATCGCGTATGTTACGAAGAGTTTCTAAAACGTGCGCGAAATAAAACTGCTGAGTTGCCTTGCTCGTAAAACCCTCCTTATGAAGTTTTGATATCATGCTGCTTTCGTGCTGAAAGTGTCGCTGAAATGATTGTAAAGCTGAAATGGTTCGCGATGCATTCTCCGAGTCGGGCGAATTCGGTTGAAAGTTTGCCAAATTAAATTTCAAAACGTTTATACCGATTATAAGATGCGCAACTATAGTTGAGGGTTTAAGATTTCGGGTCCCTTTTAAATATTCTACGTAACTAGTATAGAGTTCGATATTGTTAAATAGATCTAAGGTTAACATGGCAATGTTTTTCACGTTCAAGCAGAAGTACATAAAGCTCATGGCTCTTTCAACCATTTTGTCGACGGTCGTTTTTGAAAACGGCGGCCCAGCACGATGGTGGTTCAATGCTTTTAGGTAGAAATGGCGCAAGTCTTTTACCTCATTCTTCAATCTTTCAGGCGCGCTGTCTAATGCGATGGTATACGTATTTCTTTTCGGCGACGTCGTTTCATCTTTAAATTTCTTTTCTACAGGTGGTTCTTGTTCATCGCTGTCTGACTCGACGCTGAGATTGTAAGACACAATTGGATTGTCTGTGGTCGCGAGGCTCGGACTGGCGACATCAGCAGCGTCGAGAATTGTGGCAGAACTACTGTGAGAAAGTCTGGCTCGCTTTCTCGCACCTTCACTGCGATATGCCATCAAACGGGTCAAGTCTTCATCTCGAATAAGGCTAAACGTAGCACCCAAAGAAGCATTGCGTCGACGAAAGTGAATTCTCTCTTCCAAAGTGGCACAGGGTGTTGTCGAGATGTTTAGGGACTTTAGCCAGTTTCTAACGGTGCTTTTTGGAGTGTCTGTGAAAATCTTTTCGCACACGTCTATGAAGCAGTAATAAGTCTGATTGTCTCGTTTGATGTGAGCTAAAGATTCCATTTTTGTAAAATCCAGACTAAAAATAAAAAAGTTGTCATTAATAACACTGACATATTCTTTTAACCCTAACCCTGGAATTCAAGCTAACTTTACAAAAGTCCATAACCTTTCGTAAAATTAGTAACATTGGTTCATAACCTTACATGCGCAAACAGGTCTGGCAGACAGGTAGGCGTGCATGCTAAAATGGTGTGCTGGAAATAAAGGACTTTTTCCAAATATATAACCCTTCCTTCAAAATTACTAACCTGGGTTAAAAATCATAACCCTAGCATTTTAACTAACCTAAAAACTAAATCTTGCTAAGATCCATAACCTTTTCGTAAAGCTAATAACCCTTCAGTGGCATACAGGCGTGCTAAAAATGCATATGGCGTGCCGACAAATTAAGGGCTTTTCCCAAATAAATAACCTTTCCTTAACAATTACTAACCCTACATGCGTTTAATATCATAACACTCAAATAAAATTGGTCTGTAACAAGAAACAAACTTACAATATATCGAGCCTGATTATTCTCAGTTTTGCATGAATACGTGTTTCGTTGATTTCCAGGCAGGCGTATGGTTCACCTGAAAAAAAAAGCACTCTTGTAAGACACAAAATTAAAAAACCTCCGCTATAATTTACTCAAATTCAGAGCGCGCTAACAAATGGAAATTCTGATAAGACACGGAATAGATTATCACTGGGAGGGAGGTGTATATAAAAACGATATAAATATAGTCCGTATGAATACAGTATAAATATACGGTATAAAAACGGTATAAATATAGTCCGTATAAAGTCCGTATAAATACAATAAGTATACCTGGCTCATGATGATAATAATGATGATCCTTGAAGATGCTTCTTTCATGACTTTTAAGTGAAAATGAAAGATAATCGACAAACCATTTACGTATACAACACAGATAGGCACGCCTTCTTTCTTCTTGGGGTTACTAATGGACATCGCCTCCTAAATTCAGGAAACGCGGCGCTTTGATATTAGCGCAATGCCGCACTAATGAATTAGCTAATTGGACATGGTGAGAGATAAGGCACAGGAACTGGCGTTCCTCAGACAAAGAGGTGACTTTTTCTTCCTGGCGGAAAGACACAATAGAAGCACTTGTTAATGACAGCAGTTCCCCATTCAAAAGCGAGAAGTGATTGACAAATATTAAACGTATTAAACCATATGAGCTTAACAACATTCAATTACAAAAAATACTCAAAATTGATTATCTGTCAGATTTACCTCAAAAATACATAATTAATATACATAGATTAAAAAGCCTCATGCATAAGGTTTCTAGTAGGTCTCTAGATCGGTTTATGATTGCAAATATAATAGCCAGATTTACATGTGCCAGCATGCAATGCAATGGGCGTGTCTGCTCGAATGAGTGATCTCTGGCTGGGGGGCTTGGGGCTCTGGGTGCAAAGGTTAAATTCTTCTGTTACATTGCTGGGCTGAGATGATATCATATCTCAGTGAACATTCTGTGGGTGCATGCAGGATGGATATTCCATGCAACAACTAAGCACATGCAATGATTCAATTGGCATGTTATTATGGCAGAGCTCTGCTCGAATGAGTGATCTCTGGCTGGGGGGCTTGGGGCTCTGGGTGCAAAGGTTAAATTCTTCTGTTACATTGCTGGGCTGAGATGATATCATATCTCAGTGAACATTCTGTGGGTGCATGCAGGATGGATATTCCATGCAACAACTAAGCACATGCAATGATTCAATTGGCATGTTATTATGGCAGAGCTCTGCTCGAATGAGTGACCTCTGGCTGGGGGGCTTGGGGCTCTGGGTGCAAAGGTTAAATTCTTCTGTTACATTGCTGGGCTGAGATGAAATCATATCTCAGTGAACATTCTGTGGGTGCATGCAGGATGGATATTCCATGCAACAACTAAGCACATGCAATGATTCAATTGGCATGTTATTATGGCAGAGCTCTGCTCGAATGAGTGATCTCTGGCTGGGGGGCTTGGGGCTCTGGGTGCAAAGGTTAAATTCTTCTGTTACATTGCTGGGCTGAGATGATATCATATCTCAGTGAACATTCTGTGGGTGCATGCAGGATGGATATTCCATGCAACAACTAAGCACATGCAATGATTCAATTGGCATGTTATTATGGCAGAGCTCTGCTCGAATGAGTGATCTCTGGCTGGGGGGCTTGGGGCTCTGGGTGCAAAGGTTAAATTCTTCTGTTACATTGCTGGGCTGAGATGATATCATATCTCAGTGAACATTCTGTGGGTGCATGCAGGATGGATATTCCATGCAACAACTAAGCACATGCAATGATTCAATTGGCATGTTATTATGGCAGAGCTCTGCTCGAATGAGTGATCTCTGGCTGGGGGGCTTGGGGCTCTGGGTGCAAAGGTTAAATTCTTCTGTTACATTGCTGGGCTGAGATGATATCATATCTCAGTGAACATTCTGTGGGTGCATGCAGGATGGATATTCCATGCAACAACTAAGCACATGCAATGATTCAATTGGCATGTTATTATGGCAGAGCTCTGCTCGAATGAGTGACCTCTGGCTGGGGGGCTTGGGGCTCTGGGTGCAAAGGTTAAATTCTTCTGTTACATTGCTGGGCTGAGATGATATCATATCTCAGTGAACATTGAGATCTGAAAGCTAGAATTCGTGATAACAAAGAGGTCCGAATCATGAATGAATTGACGTACCGTAGTGTAGATTTGCCCACGATCATCATTTCATTATTTCCGAGGGTAGAAAACGTGCCATTTATGATCAATTCGTAAAATTTAGAGAGGATTTTCCAAAGCATTTAATACCCATGCATGCTTGTTGTTTGTTTCAATTCCGGAATTCAATTCCCCCCCCCCCGATCGCCGAAACATATTTAAATGTTGTGCATATGTAAATTATGTATTGTACAAAATAAACAATGGGAAAAATACATTCAGATATTTTCGACGCTAGGTAAAATGGAATCCGTGGATTTACTAATTTACTATCCAATACCAAGCATGCTTACGATGCGATACAGGGTGTGGATTAAGTAATTCTTTCGTTGCATCGCGTTGAAGCAACAATGAAGCGATTATCAACAGCGTGTTCAGAATGTGATAGATCAGTAGCGAAGCAATTCCATTGGTCTTCCTACTTCCGCAGCTCAGCTGTGGAAGTAGAAAGACCAATCAGGAGATGACTTTCGGAAATGGGATAACTCCAGTTACAAGGAGCAATTCACAATGCAATATTCATTGACGACGTCTTTGCTTCGACGACTGTGTTCGTTGAAATTTCGACATTTTCGTTTTTGTCGCTCGTTGAGCTCATCAGTCCAACAACGGCCGTAGTAGATCTATAAAGGAATCGAGATCAAGCGACATCAATTGCATAAATGTTGATATAAATGTTGTCAGGAATCTAAGCAATACATCGTCGCACTGTTGCGTAGCCCGAAAACCTCCGCATGAATCTGCTGAACCCCCCCTGGTTATATATATTATTTATTATTTAGACTAATAAAATGAATAAAAAACCGGCCGTGTTGTTCTCGATTTATACATCACATTATCGCAATCCCGTGTCTCTAGAGATACAGTTGATTTATTTTAGCACAAGTTGAGAGCGTGCATAAATAATTTTGGCACAAATAAAACATCATTTCTATTTTCGTATCTTCTCTGTTAAATGACGTAATTACGGTAAATTCCCCGGTAAAAATAGACCGAGCCATTACGTCATTACGCGAGTATAAATGCAGCGAGCGACGAGCGTTCGAATATACTTTACAGGCGAAGCGCAAAAAGGATGAACAAGTGCAAGGGTTACGTGGAGAATATTTTCAAATCGATAAAGAGGCAGATCAACAACTTGGACCCGGAGGAAGACGGAGAGACGCTGCAAGCGGTTGTCGACGCGTGCCAGACATTTTACGTGTCACTTTTCGCGAGGGGAAAAGGTGCGAGCGAGAAAACGAGCGTTGAAGAAATATAGCGCTCGGTCGATTGCTAAATTTTCCGTTCTACTTTGTGTCTTTCAGGCCTGTTCGGTCAGAGGCAGATGGACAAAGAGTTGGCGAGAAACGCCCCGAAAATTCCAACAGTTTCGTCGACGGAGGGATCCGGTGAAACGTCTCATCGACCTGACGACGATCCTCCAAAGAGCAAGAAAGGCCTTGGCAAGGGTTCTCCGGGCGTGTTTAGGGCGAGAAACGTGACGAAACGGCAGGAGAGAACGCGCACCAGCGACGCGTTCCTCGGCCGTAAGCGAAAATCAGCCGGCTCAAGCACCACAGGTGTAGCAGAGGGAACGAAACGAGCATTGCTCCCGAAGTCGGCGGAGAGCACCACCATGACAGCACCAGCAATTCCACCAGCACCGATGACACCACCGCAAACGGCACCCCGGCCACCTAAAAAAGCGCGTCTCGAGCAGCCGGAGAAAAGAAAACCTCTCTGCGCCCAGGCTGCGAAAGCCAACACGGGAGCAAAGCGAGTGCAAATGATGCAAAAGCTCGCGGCGGCCGGCGAGAAAGACGAGCCCCCAAATCATGTAGAATTAGAACTATTTTGGGGGGCCATGAACGACTGGAAGATTCTCGACGCTGGCTTGGTGGCGGCGTTGCAATCCACGTGGGAGGAGATGAATTCCGAGAAAAGCAGAACGCCGGTGCAAAAAATTCTCACGCTAACGGCAATCCCGAACGGCGTGAGCAATTGCATTCAACACTGCATTGGCAACCTGGTGCGAGAATTTGTTCGGCAAACCAAGTCGGACGGTCGAAAGGTCAACTATACGGCCGGCTGCGACGCGATGGAAGACGAGATAAGGGCCGAGCACTACCGAAGATATCGCGCAATGGTGAAGGATTGTGCGTGCGAAGCGTGCAAAGCGGTCATCCAGTTCGACGAGGCCTACACTAGGTAGGAGGAGATCGGGCCCCTGGCCTTACTTTAATACTAGCACAGCAGGTAATAACGTCTCACCATCGATCAATACGTTTGTTTCTTTGCAGATACCACGACAATTTGGAAATGACCACGGCGCAAATGGAAACCGAACCGGTTCGCTTCGCAGACAGACCGATGCACTGCGACGACGTCGATTTCCGTGCCCAAAGTCTGCGCACTCAGTTTACCGGCCTGAGTTCCACGAGTCTGCTCAAGGCGCTATACTTCTCGAATTCGACGCCCGCGTTTAGCCCTCCCACGCTATCGTTGGCGATGCCCACAGATGTGCAAAGCATGACGATGAGATACTTACAGCCATTCCTGAGAGAGAGAAAGTTGCAGGATCCATCTGCCCCAGTCGTGGAAAACCGTGAGCCCGACACCGGCGGAACACGAATTGGTCAGCGTCCCAAAGAAATGCCTGCGCATGTTTGACGGAGACTCGGGCGAGATATTGCTGACATCCGAGTGCGAACGCGAACTCCACGACCTGGCGACGGACGACGGGAAGCTACGATTCCGGCTTAGAAACTGCGACGCGCCTGAGACGGAGTGCTCGGTGCGTATCTACAAACAACCAGACGACGGGTCAACGACGATGACGCCGTTTCTTACGCGACATATTGGAATCGAAGCACTGCGGGCAGCGAGGGAGCTGGTATTCCGAGCGAGCGAGGTCCTGTTGCACGTCGGTACGGGTGCGGCCGGCCAGCGCGACGTCCCTCACGACCGTTTCGGCAGGAGATTGGTTCAGGTCTTCACGAGAAACGAGAACGGCAGCCTGGATAACTTGACCGAGAAACTCGCCGCGGCCGGGTACACGCTGTCTTTTTACACGACCGGAATAGACGTCGCCGTGGATGCAGCGATGCGTGCGGCGATTGTCGACAAAGAGGGAATCTTCAGCCTGCCGGAAGAAGTCTTCACCTACCCGAACCTGCCGTGGGACATACGAAAGATGTGGGGACAACACGGCGTGAACGCGTACGAAGAATATCGTCCGATATTGAACCGCCCCGAGGATCCTACGGTATAATATATGAAATAATAATGACCATGACAAGTAACAATGACAACTAATAATTTCGACATTATTATTTTACACAGGTGTGGGCCTGCAGTGGCGCTGGATCGCGGCAAGTTCTCGCAGACGATGGTGAATCGTGGCCCGAGAGCCAAGATTCGGACAACTTTTTTTTTCGAATTGTACCATGCAGCACGTTTTTGGAAAGCCGATGTTTCGTCGCGAAAAGCGAAATTCCGAACTCGGGTCACGGCCTGTTCCTAGCACGACACAAGTTCCCCATCGAGAGCGGGGCGCATATCTGCCTTTACGCCGAACGAAGCACCACCGAGGAAGAAATGAACAAAAACAGCAGCTCTCGTTCCTACGCGATATTCGTGCACAGAAAAAAACGATGGTTCGACGCGGAGGTGGAAACGGCCAATAATTTGGGACGATTTGCAAATCAGCCGTGGGTGCTCGAAGCATTCAAGCACATACGAACTCTTTCGTCAGCGGAAAGGCCCCCTCTGACGGAAGAGGATTGGGCGAAAACCGAAAGTCGAATAGACGAACAGTGCAACGCTCGCTTCGACACGACCGGGGAACAGTTAGTTCTACGAACGAAACGGCGCTTGGAGCCCTCGAAACGTCCGACGGAGATACTGGTGAACTACGGTGGGCTTCGCTCCTACTGGATCCCGTTGTTAAGACAACGCCGTGATGATGAAGTGCTACCAGAAAGCCTGAGAGAAATCGTTGCGTGGCTTTTCGAGTCCCCAGAATGCAACTGGTCGACCGAGCAAAGAACTAAATGGACGTTTATGTGAACTGAAAAGAACATGCAACCAATTTGAACATAATAGTTGAACATTTAAGCCGGACATTTCACTGAAAATTTAGGCTATTTATTTATTTTGTTGCTTCTGTATTGAAAATGTACATATGTCAGGAAATAAAGTTTTTTTCTGGCCAAAGCTAGATATTAATAACCCTTTTGTCACTACTTGTATATACAGTGTGTATCAGGAATGAAACATGCGTGCATTATTAATGATAAGCTTAAAGCTTACCCGATTTATTAGAATCTTGACTCTTTCTCCTCTCTAGTTGTCCATCACTGGCTATGGATCAAGTCTGGAAAAAAAAACGCTTGCTATTAATTTCCCAACGACTATCGATTAATAGAAATTCACCTCCGACCAAAAATTTCCCAACCCCATTCAAAGGCAGAATTATATCATACTGCACAGTCCATTCCAAATTGAACTGTTGAAAGGTTTATTAAATCGATATATCTGCTATGTATGTCATGCCCATATCAATCAATCAATCAATCAAATCGTTTAATAAATATACATCTCGCAGTCATTATGACTGAATTAAATGTATAATACATCAATATGAATGGTAAAAATATGTATATTTTAAAAGTTATTAATATATTTACAACTACAAGCATTAAAAATTAGAATTCATAACCTAAACAAGCTATATGACATCACATGCTACAAGATTACATTTACATTTAAGAAGTGTGTCTATTTGAATAATTTGGCATAAAAGAGTTTTTAAAACGATTTATATAACATTTGATCGTTTGAAATGTTCTCTTTGTCCTTAACTGATTATTAATACCGTTGGTTCTTTCCGGTAATAAATTGGTGCATTTCACTGAAAATTTAGGCTATTTATTTATTTTGTTGCTTCTGTATTGAAAATGTACATATGTCAGGAAATAAAGTTTTTTTCTGGCTAAAGCTAGATAACCCTTTTGTCACCACTTGTATATACAGTGTGTATCAGGAATGAAACATGCGTGCGATAAGCTTACCCGATTTATTAGAATCCCCTCTCTAGTTGTCCATCACTGGGTTTAGATCACCTCTGGAAAAAAAAACTTTTACTATTAATTTCCCAACGACTATCGATTAATAAGTTATGCATGTTCTATAAACTTGCACTTACCAAGACGAGGACTAGTTAAGATTGATTGAAAAAGCTTACGGAAGTGTTACTACCTATATTTCACGCTATCATGGGAAAAGCATTATTTACATTATCATTCGTTATACTGTACTTATTCACAGAAGTACTATAAGTTCCCACGATGCTAACTCGTTTTTGTTTCGACGAAAAAATATCTTATAATGAAACGACACAGAGATAAAAAACATCTCTAGTACTTTTATGATCATAGAGTCACCTCTACATAATGATTTCTAATACCTATAATTAATAATTATTATAACAAAAAAAATTTCAATAGTGAAATATCTATCATCAATATCTACGCGCTTAATAGTCTTTTTCACACAGAAAATCGTGTGATCAACAGTTATTGTTCTCAAGGGTCACAAGTTGTTACATTTGAAATGTAGGCATTCTATGTACGTATGGGGTCTTCCAAAAAAAGTAAACCATACAATTCTATCACATTAGTGGTCATTTTGAAATTGTATTTAAAATACCAGTTTCTTTTAACCTATTTTTTATTCTATTGTTAAAAGGATTTGTTAGCGGGATACCCTGTAATACATAGAAGTCAAACTAAATGATTTTCTGATTGATTTGGAATTGTTATCTATATATTTGTTAGTTATCTGTTATCTGAAACGTTTTTGTTTTTTGTTTTTTTTGACGGATTTATATATGTCCACAAGGCTTCTGAGTGGTTTAAACCTACTTAAAACTATGAATATTCCAACTATTTTACATTTGACTATTGCCCATGACAACCATATTGAATTAGCTGAATTATTTCCAGCAGTTGAGGTCACAGTTTCATTATAATTTACATTTTTTAACTGTCTGTTGCACGAACCTGTTCGAATACTGTATTGTTCCAAATCTATATACAAACTTAAAATATTCTATAAAATCAAACTCTGAGGTGAGGCATACCAAACAAGTCCCTTGCGTTGGAATCAAAACCAGAGTCAGTAAACACGGATACAATATTTTGCTGAGATATTAAAAAAATGTAAATGTTTTCTTACAACAATTGCTCTAAAAACAGAATTTAAAGGCACAACAAATGGAACGCCTTCACTCAAGGTCTAGAGAATAGAGTATCTTTTATTGCTAATATTGAACAACACCATGCACAGATAGCAACATCAAGGAATTACAATTATATGACAGGGCATTGTCCAAAAATTCCAAAGACAACAAACAAGTCCTCTAAACAGACCAAAAAATTAATGGTTTATTTTAATATGTAGTTCTATCCCTTATCGAAGATAATTTGCTGGATGATCTTCTACAGAATATTGCTACATATCCACCTATACAATACGTCCTTAGCAATAGATTACTTGTGTGCAAGTATTATAATTCGATAAATGAATGTCACATATCTGCAGTTTCCTAGCACTGATTGACACACAAGTTTTCATCATGGAACTCAATTGAATACATTGCATTAACCACATACTATATATACATAGCTTGTCGTGTACATGTCGAAAGGTTTATTCAATCAATATATCTGCTATGTATGTCATATATGCCCATATGTCATGCAGAACTGAGAACTTCAGGCATTCAGTAAGTTGGCAATAGATTACCAGTATACTGATCATAATTGGATCAAAGAACTGTCTTTCTCTAATACCTCCTTAGCAATAAATTACTTGTGTGCAATAAGTATTTTAACTTAACTATCAATTAACTGTCTTTCTTTAGACACTTTTGGAAAGATTAAACAACAATAAAAAAATAATGACAATGGCTGAAACAATCCCATTCATTTATTAATAAAAATACCCATTCATTCAAAATAGGAAGTATCTTAAGAAATAGTATTTTAAACCGGTGATAGCACGCCTGCCGAAGACAAACTTGCCTATTTAAGGCTCTGTTGCAAGTACGAGTATTAAAATTTAAAAAAAACTCACATGACAATTGCTTTTAATACAGGAGGTTTTTAAGTGCTTTTCAAGTGGTTTATTGATGGCACGCAAACCCTCGTGCTCGTCCATTCTTTGGAGTGAACTTGACGAATCGATGATTCTAAACAATACTTCAGCCTTCAAAGTTCATATAAACATCCATATTCGAGATTTAAAGAAGTTATACAGCATATATTTGCAAATAATTGTTAATATTTTCATCAATGAAACTCGTGTTTTGCGAAATCTGTTAATGCCCGCATGCGCGTAACTAAGCCGCTGTCCGCAATGCATTATATCGGGCTCAGCTATCTGATCTATATCGTAAAGATGGAGTGATAGAATAGAACTTTTCGGTGATACGTCACAGCAATTTGACGACACAAAGTTTTAAATTTAGAACCACCTTAAATGGAATGGATTTAAAGTTTTATCCTCACGAGCCATATCGAAAGGTGCAAAACATCCTTCTTCAACACATGCATGAAAAAGATTTTTAGTTTGACCAACGAATTCTGGAAATAAGCCTAACACGAGAACAAGGCGTCCGGGCGTCCCATATAGCAGACGGATGTTTCGCATCTTTCCACATAGATTACCGAAAAGGTCTATTAGGTATCAATTGTACAGGTAGGTATAAAAGTGAATATAAAATCAAAACAAAAAATATTCCTCATGCAAACTTTTATGGGTAAACTGATAAATGGGGTAAGCTCAGTGAGAGAACTCAAATTTGACACAACATGTAGTTTTTGAATACATATATTTATTTAAAATCCCAACAAAATCTGAACAAGTGAATACTGATGATTATAACAGAACAAGAATATTAATTACAACGGAACCCTCTAGTAAATTTTGACTTTTTCATGCTCGATATATTTCTGGATTTTACTTTTTCGACGTACCATGAACAATGTCGAATATATCATCAGAGAGCGTGCGCAACTCGTATGCTTTGCTTGTCGCATTATAAACGATGTCTATAGGAAAAACCAACGCCTTAACCGACTCTTTCCAAGTTCTGCCTGGTTTCAGTCTATACAAATTTGTGGAATCCGGCAAAAGCTCCATGCTAATTAAATGCGCTTGCTGCTTGTTTTGCGTGAATCTCGCGACTTTTGCTATGAAAAAGGAAATGTGATTTTTGGTGGAAACTGGATCAAGCAGTGCTACAATGTCACCGACAGCTGGTAACAATTCGTCCCCGGAATCATTTTGGCAATCGCTTTCGTCAGGCAATGCAATAAAATCCGCTTCACCGAAGATATTTGACGCAATTTTTTCCCTGATAACTTCTCGGCCTTTTTGCGTTTTCTCGTGGTGTGTTAAATCGTTATACGTGCTTTCCTGATATCGGACCGAATGCTTCATTAAAAGCGCAAGACTTTTTCTAACATTTATATCTTTGGAGTCGTCCAAAGTGCTGAAATATGTGATGATAGCATGCCTTAACGCATTAGTGCTCGCTCGAATGGAAACCTCGCGCATGAAAATATCGCCAATGTACCTCGCAATTGAACTGCTGCTATCAAAAGGCGCGCCTCGCTTGTTGAGAAAGAAGAAATCATGCGACTTGCCGAGCAGTAAAGATGGCCTTGCCTTAGTATATAATTGCAAGTAATACACCAGATCTTCGTCATCGGAAACATCGATTCTGGTCGGCCCAATACTTTTTGATGTTTTGAAATCAAATTGCACGATTACAACGCTATTGCCCTCTTGAAATACGATAAAATTACCGCCATCCACCGAAGTGAAATCGAAAGTTCCGCAGTCCGCTTCGATATGCAATTTCATGGTCCTTAATTCTTTCGACCTGCCAGGAATGGCTCTTAAGTAAGTTGCCAAGAGTACAAAATCATGCAAGTGCCTACTTTTTTCCAAGCCATGCGTTT